TTTTATTTATTTATTTGTGCATTATTTTGTAATCTGCCATATGTCTAATGTTGGGGAATGTTCGGTTGTGTTTGTGTCATGTGATAAATGTAAAAAAGCCATAAATACATGTTTTAAAAAATAAAACAAATAACATTATTATCCATTAATCTGCCTACTTGATTTCATTGTCCTCAGCGTCTCGGGGGGTCGGCTGGATCTTCAGCGCGGCGTGTTGTCGGGCGAGCGTCGCAGCGCAGAGCGACGCAGACTGCATGTCGCCTGCCTCTATGGCTCGAGTCAGCTCTAGGCAGGTGTCCTCTACAGATGGATACACACACACACACACGCACACACACACACATGCACAACGAAGCACACACAACCCCACACAGGTGAACACAGTGTGCAGAGGATGTTCCCATACCTCCAAACAGCCACTAGAGGGCTGATTCAATGAATGAATGAATAAAAGGAGCGAGGGAATCAGGGAATTAGTTACATCACATCTAAAAGAAATCAATCAGATAATACTTTATATTAATCTGAGTACACACCTGTTCGTTGCAAGGCTGTTGTTTTTTCAAGTTGGAGCGCATCGGGGGGGCGCGGTGGACTGTAGTGTTGAGGGGCGACTGCCAATGAGAAGAAGAGATTTAGATAAACAAATGGATAAAAGACACATAAAAAAAACGCACTAATCAACTGATTCAGATTCTACAGAAACATCTCTTCTACTGTCAATTTGTAAGACAAAGATTACATCGTTTTTGGACATTTAAATATGAAAATGGCACTTATTAACCAGTCTCTTCATCTACACAGAAAAGGTTTTAACATATTTGATTAGAACAGTCAGCAACATAGTCAATAACACGGTAAATATTTATTTCTGATCTTATTTATCAAGGTTATTTAAATGCTAAGTTAATTGAAATGTATGGGCATGAGTTTGTGATGCAGCCACCGATAATTAATTTAATATTTATCCATGGCACAGTTTTATCATCCATGAACATACATTAACTTTCTTACACCTTTCTTTTTTTTACTTTTCCATGAATGTAATTGAGTAAACAAGGGGCATGTTTGTGAGTCAGCACAGAGCAACTTATTGATATTCCCCCTGAAACCACAATATGGAGCTTGTTTACAGTGGTTGAGATGGACTGTAGAGAAAAGCTCTTTTGTTCAAATGAATAATTATATAACCAGCTGGATTCATCACGCTTAATTAGCATGAAGTAGTTCGCTAAAGGGCAACATCATTACTCCAAATCACAGACAACAGGGCTTTCCCTTAAATGTTCCTGCAGTTCTGCTCACGAATATCTACATTTCCACACCCTCCATTCTGCTGTGGTTGTTACAGCGGTGGGAAGCAGTGGAGTACAAATACTTCGTTACTGTACTTAAGTACATTTTTCTGGTATCAGTACTTTACTCCACTACTTATTTTTCTGACGACTTTTGACTTTGACTTCTTACATTTTGAACACAAATACCTGTACTTTCTACTTCTTACATGTTGAACTCTAATACCTGTACTTTCTACTTCTTACATGTTGAACACAAATACCTGTACTTTCTATTTCTTACATGTTGAACACTAATACCTGTACTTTCTACTTCTTACATGTTGAACACAAATACCTGTACTTTCTACTTCTTACATTTCTAACACAAATACCTGTACTTTCTACTTCTTACATTTTGAACACAAATACCTGTACTTTCTACTTCTTACATTTTGAACCCAAATACCTGTACTTTCTACTTCTTACATGTTGAACACAAACACCTGTACTTTCTACTTCTTACATGTTGAACCCAAATACCTGTACTTTCTACTTCTTACATGTTGAACACAAATACCTGTACTTTCTACTTCTTACATTTTGAACACAAATACCTGTACTTTCTACTTCTTACATGTTGAACACAAATACCTGTACTTTCTACTTCTCACATTTTCCAAACAGGCTGGTTCCTTTAGTTTGAATGTGTGTTTGGTGGCGTGATCATTATTATTTAGAGTCATTGCGTGCCTATTGATTTGAACACGATCCGTGTATCCATCATTTCCTGGTCTTCTCTAAAGAAGAGGGACCAATGAAAACGTTGTCATGTTGCCGTTGTTCAGCATGGAAACATTCATTAGCTAACAATGACATTATTGTTCTATTAATATAAAGGGAGGTCAGGAATTCTTTAAAACAGCTGCTAGTTATGGGTACTTTTTACTTAAGTACATTTCAAAGCCTCTTTACTTTTACTTGAGTAAAGAAGTTTAGTCAGTACTTCTACTTTTACCAGAGTATTTTTAAACACGAGTATCTGTACTTCTACTTGAGTTAAGGATGTGTGTACTTTTGCCAGCTCTGGGTTGTGATCTAAGGAGCAGAATTTGGCAGGAAGGACACTGACCTCTGTGCGTCTCCCTCAGTGATGACAGCACGACCGTGGCCCACTCCTGCGCCTCCACCTCGCAGCGGAAGTTGAAGCTGATGCGGTCGTGAGGAGGCGCCGCCAGACTCAGCTCGTGGCACTTTGGTGACTTCACCTCGTAGTTCACGCTCCTCAGATCAAACTCTGTGATGGTCTGGGAAATGAAGAAAGGAAAGCAAGAATGAGACGAGATGAGGTAGGAACCATTTGGGAAGGTTAATGAATCCCCAAGGTTCAAAGTGTGGCAATTATGTTGAGGTTATGCATGTTACTCTGAATATATGTAACTGAAAAAGGATTTTATGCCATGCTGAGGCTCTTTCTAATAGAGGGAAACATAAAACCATTGTTGTTTAAGTCATGTGTATGTTGCAAATCCTATAAATACATGTGCTGAATCAAATCCGACACAATATTTAGGTTTTGTAGACAAGCCAAATCATGTTGGAAACTACAGCCTTAGACAGTTGCCATCAACATTTGGTTTTATTTCACAATATTTACACACACCACATTTTTGGGATGTTTTACCTAAAGTACTAAAGCCTAAATGTAGAAATACTCTTAGGTAAATCCTGAATTCAATGTTTTATCCAACTACAAAAGTGTCAACATCTATTTAGTTAAGAGTAACACACATAAAAGTACTTATTATGCAGAATGTCCAATTTCCAAATTTGGGATCAATAAAGTATATAATCTAATCTAAATAACAGTAGTATAAAAAACACAATATTGACCTCTGAGAGATGTAGTGGAGTAGAAGTAAAAGGTAAAATTACATTTAAATACTGAAGTAAAGTACAAGGACATCAAAAGTGTACCTTACTTGAGTGTATAGTGTTACATTCTGTCCCTGAACTCACCACGCTGCGGCCGACCCCCCCGCTCTCCTGCTGGAGCGACAGCCGGAATTCCCCGGACTTCCCCGGGTCCATACTGAGCTGCAGGCGGAGAGACACGTCTCCTGCCCCGGGGAGACACAGGGGCCGGATCCCGGAGTGACACACCGACACCCGGACCGACGCGAGGACGGTGTGGCAACCGGGCTGAGGGTGCTGGGCCCCGGCATGGAGACCCTGGAGGGCGGGGGTCTGGCCCTGGGTCTGTTGGTCCTGCGTAAAACCTGGTGCCCAACCGCCTGAAGTCAGAGACATCCTGGCTGTTGACACACAGGGTCCGGGTGGTTCAGCCTGTCGATGGTTGCCCTTTTAACGACATTTTTGTCAACATTTCATATCCACACTCACAACAGGAAGCAAAGTGTCCGTGACGTCTCTCTGTCAGCTGTTCCTTCCGAAGCTCAAAGGTTTCTCTTCCTTCCTTTCGGCTTTATTTAGTGTTTCGTTTCGCTTTAACAGTATTTCTCGGGGTATTCTACACCTGTAAACATGGAGGTTATCAACAATAGTTTCACTCACACCACTGGTGTTGTTTGTGCGTAAAGGCTTTCACTTCCCACTGCGCATGCGTCGTGGGCTGACGTCAACTCTTGTAATATTCATGAGAGGCGTGACCCTGATCACAGGTGGAAGAAGTACAAGGAGTAATACCTACTTCTACAACATTGTAGAAATACTCTGTGACAAGAAAAACGCAAGTTAGTGCAAAATAATTAGCATCAAAATATAATTACAATACTTACTATTCATTATGCAGAATGGCCATTTCCCCCAAGATCATGCATCACTTAATTATAGTAAGTGATGTATAAGTGTGTATATCATTTTATTTTTGCAGCAACTAAAGGTGGAGCTAATGACTTTTTATACTTCCAAGGTGTTTTAATCCATAATATTACATCATAGCTTATTAGTTGATTAATATTTTGCATTTAATAATATTTACCTGCAACAAACTAGTAGGCTGAATAACACTAACACAGATATATAGAGTAAAAAGGTACAATATTGGCTTCCACATTGTAGTGATAAAGTGGTTTAAATGTGCATTAATTTGCATTAAAACGTTCATTTTAGGTAGGTATGTTGTTGTGCACATATTTTACCACAAGAGGGCAGCAAAGCCAAAGTCTTCTCACTTCTCTACCTGAAGATTTAGCTGAAATTTGATATTTATATTATGTTTTTAATGACGTGTGTTGTATACATGAGTATTCCTATACTCTACTCTAATGTGTCCTACATATTCAATACATTTAAAAATAATAATACTTTATTATTAAGTGATTAAAACACAGTTATACTTAATTTAGATAACTATAATTTACTAGTACGTTGATCCAGGTCGGAGCAGGGTCTTCTCACCTGCACTATAATGCACAGTACTAGTTAAAGTAGAGGACCTGTGTGCAGTGAGAGAACCTCTTTCACTCTGTTTCATTATCTTTGAAAAAGTGACAAAAATTCATGGTGTATAAGGGTCATCATTCTGTCGTTAACATGGCCTTATTCACAAGCAGCTAATTTTGACCTGTGGCAGGTTGTTGTTAATTAATGATGGCTGCATTATATTCAGGTGTGATTGGAAAGTCATTGAGTCATTTTTTATTAAGTTAGGTTTTTAAATGTGTGTTTTTATTTTCGTAACAGTTATTTTAAAGATGCTCGCCACGACCCAGGTGGGACTCGAACCCACAATCCACAGCTTCGGAGGCTGGCGCCCTGTCCATTAGGCCACTGGGCCTCAAAATCAATCACTTTCTTGGTGGATTTTGCTCCATCATTCAATTATTTATACACACAGGAGATTTAATGAATACTTATCAACCCTTAAAAAGACAAGACAAACCTGTATTTGTACCTGTAGGGAAATGCAGGTGTCAAAGCAGCTACAATAATACGATTAAAAACACAATTACAGGTACTAAAAACTAGTACACATGCAATCTAAATGCTTTTTATTTTTGTTGGGAGGCGTGTGGCGCAGTGGATAGAGCCTTGGTGTTGGGATCAGGGGGTCACAGGTTCAAACCACACTGCAGTCAGCATGTCGTTGTGTCCCTGGGCAAGACACTTCACCCCAAATTGCTCCTGTGGGGATTGTCAGTATTGAGTATGTAAGTCGCTTTGGATTAAAAAGTGTAATGTTCTGAATGAAATTCTTTGCCAACAGGAAACACCCTAAAAGAGACGTCCCTGCTGACTGACTTCCCAAGCCTTTTTTTAAGAAAGAGGGTCACCCAAACATGGTCAGTGAACGTCTCATCCTACACACTCTGTGGGTTTTTACGAGGTAGATAACAAAATATACTGTAGCACGTACGGGGATGATTTAGACCTCACAGCTCGGCCGGAATAAGATGTTAATCATTCTGCCAGCAGGGCTTTTCTCAATCAATGCCTCATTCATCACAGCCCTGTCCTGCAAGATAAGGAAGCATCTTTGGAGGTTTTCTTTTTACAAATGAAACACCTTCACTCAGTTGCTTTTTATAGATATATCAGGCTTTTGTTCACAAAGTGTAATGAAGCAGGAGAGTGTCACTGCCCCCCTGCTGTGAGGCGATGATGATCCTCTGAGAGCACGAAGCCTTTCAAACTGTTCTGATGAGAGCGTGACAACATGGTGATACGTCAGAGGCGGCGTTATTACAAAAAGGGCAAATCTTGAAATGTGGACAACGTTGAGGTTTATTTTAAAATCAAATACAATGATTCAGGGACATTAGAGCAGGAGGTTTAAGCAGCCATATGCACAGGTTAGGATACAACACATATTGCAATTGAGTTTGTTTTTACGGAAGAGGATCAGCGCCACATGTGAAAATTGTAAAAGGTATTTCTTTGAATTCGAATTCTGAGACATGTGGCTTTACCTTAACACATATCTGAGGTGGCGTTATAATATTAAAGACCAACATATGGGAAAGCATGTGTGTTTTTCTTTATCAAATATGGTGATTTGGTGAATTTATAACAGAGATTATTCAAGAACCATATGCATAAACACAGGTTTAGGATGAATATAACCATATTCTTATTCATATTGTTTTTAGGGAAGACCATTGGGTCCACATGGAGAGAAATACATTTGTTCTGTAAAGTCAGAGTTCAACTAAACTCAAAAACATTTCTGAGGTATCATTACACAAAAGAGAATCTTGAAGGCAACATGTTGGACGATGTGGACCAAAGTGTATTCTTAATAAATCAAATATGGTGATTTATTGAGTTTAAAGCAATGATTATTCAAGGCCATATGTAAAATAAAATGATTTCATTTTAAGGAGGAGATTTATGGCGACTGTACATGTATTTGACTCTGTACCGTCAGACAAAGAGCTCAAAGTATTGTTTTTACATGTGGCCTTCATTAACTCTATGTGTCTCTTCCTCTGGTTTTCAAATAAATGCTCGCTATCATAACTCAGCCTCATTAGCTCCGTGAGATGAGGAGTCGTCCGTGTTGGGGTGTGATTACACGTCCGCAGGTATTCCTCTCCTCATTATTACTCTCCCACAGGCAGGCTGTGTCTCAGAACATCTGATCTCAGACCATGACTACATTATGTTCGCCCTAATGTGTGGAGGAGACCAGAGCGCTGCTGGAGGGTGCACATACTCACATGGTCACACACAGACCACCGTCACATGCTACGCAGGACAATCATATCATTGCACTATGCGTTATTAGAGTTTGATTATATCGTACATGGCAAAGGTTTATTTTAACACCGAATGTTCCATTTTGAGTCCAAATGTTCATGGAAACACGATGCACGTTGTCACTATTATGTTAAAAAGTCACATGTATCTCCAGTAGAGCTGTGACTATTAATTCATATTTACACCAATCACTGGATTGTTTCCTTGATTAATCAACTGGTTTAAAAAATAACCAAAAATAATGAAACATCTTTGACAGTTTCCTTTGTCTGGCGACCGCTCCAATGCAAACAAATATTCAATTGTTTACCAAATGAGTAAAAGGTTTAATATGTTATCGAAACTATTCTTTTTCTTTACACCTGAACACACGAGTGAGAGGAGTTATCCACACCTTGAGTTCTCACTTAGGATTTATCAGTATGCTTGACATATGAATTCACACACACAGTAGTTTCACCTCTTATTGCTTCCTGAATCAGTTTGACATAGTGGCTTTAACTGTCACTGATTTCCAGCTGCAACCAGGGGTAAGGGGTAAGGGGGTGAAAAGTTAGGACGATTCTAAGGGCCCGTGACTGACAGGGGCCCTTACTATTTGAGAACATTAAGAAAAAAATGTTTAAAGGGCCCATGTCATGGCCATTTCCACTGATCATAATTCCATTGTTGAGGTCTACTAGAATAGATTTATATTGTGCATTTTTCCAAACTCACATTGGTTTCTCAAACAGCATCTCTGTAAACTACGTGTATTCACTGAATTTCACTCTCTGCCTTTAACGGCTCGTTGTAGCTCCAATAGCTCCAGCCCCCACCCTCCCTGTGAGCACAGTGTGCTCTGATTGGTCGGGACGTTGTGAATCGCGCTGAGCTCCGTGGAGGTGTTGTTTCCTTGTTAGCGATACACAGCCAAACTCATCCTGAGCACACACAAACTCACATCCGAAGTAAAAACAATAAGTGTGGCTTGATATTGAGTAAGAAAAAGGTTGATAAACGCTGTGAGAATGGGTCAGGGAGGAGAAATCAGCTGAGCTGCCTGCTCCCTGCACACAGATGTGTGTGTGAGGAAGTCCGTGGATTGGTCAATTTGAACCAATCAGCGGGAGCTTAACGTAACGGCTCCGCGGACGTAACGTAACGGCTCCACGGATTGGTCCATTTCGTTCCGGGTACGGCTTGACATCATGCCGTACCCGGAACGAAATGGAAGAATCAAATGGACAATGACGTATCTCCAACGAGGCGTTTTGGGGAGGTCTTCTCTGTGTTAGAGTTTTACTCGCTACAGGGTGTACTTTGAGGGTTTGTGACTCTGCTCACCGTTTACATGCATAAAAACCTTCATAACACAGGGGACGGGTAATAACCGGAAAAGCATGACATGGGCCCTTTAAGTAACCAATGTGATTATCTTTTCATGGGGCCCAAAATCCCTGGCGGCGCCCCTGGCTGCAACACAAACGTAATTTAAATCTTTCTTGTCACATTATACATGGCATCAACATGCTGGTTACAACAACATAACAATCATGTAACAAAAGGCTAAGGATACGTCCTCATGTTATTATAATCGTGAACATGTAACTATCAAATATCTTTGTTTTGAGTTTTCTATAGAGTCCATTTTTCCCACTTTCTGTTGAGTTGTGTTTCTTGCAATCTCAATTTATATGTCCATCAAAAAGATTTCTTCCACAATTGTTACCCTTTGGTTTTTCTTCCTTACCCCAATTCCTAGTGATAGCTTTCTTGCTGGATATTAGCAGAATTCTGATCAGATATCTGTCACTTGCAATCATTTCCTCAGTGAAACACAAACGCTTTGACCTTGTATTTGATAAAAGACATTGTTTTAAAGGTTCAGTTGTTGCTTTCATAATCTTTAGAGTTTATTTCAAAGAAGAAACTTCCGGTGACAGGAATCGAGGGGGGGGGGGGGGGGGGGGGGGGTTGCAATAGCTGTGATGAAGCTGGTCGATGAAAACCTCCCACCAGTCCCAGTCTCTGTCTGACAGACCTACTTCAGGTGGTGGACTAATTTAAAGTTGTCCACATGTCACCGACTCCCTGATGGACCGCTCTGCTGCGTGAGGAACGTCAGGAAACAGACCTGCTGTCTCCAAGAGAGGAGGGGGAGTTTAAAGAGTGGGAGGAAGGGAGGGGAGGGGGGGTCGTGGTGTGACGGATGTTCTTGATTCATCATCCAACAACAACAGGAGCAGCGTGGGTATAAAAGGTGGAGAACACCTGCTCAACAACAACGACTGCAGACCTCCGCCAGCTGACCTCCGCCTGCCTCCGAAGTCCAGGGTAAGAGACAATATATATATTTATTTAACATGCAAGAGAATGAGGACAACATACGTTATTATTATTAGGTTTTTCTATTATTTGATGGTCTTAATGTTCATTTTGAACCATTTTTTGAAGAAATTAAAATGATTTACTGAACATAGGGAATTGAAACCCTCACTCATCGGTCAGTAAGAAATACAATGATACTAAAAAGAGTAGAGATACCCCTCGAGGTGATTATATTGTTAACTGATTCAACAGTTACATCTTTACTTATCATATCATATGGATAGAGTTTATAATGGTCACTATAATGTGTTTTTAAATTAATTCAAATCTAACTGTATGAATGTTTGGTGCTTGGTGTAAGAATCAAATCCCTTCATGCTATTTTCCATCTATTATATAAAGAGGTACAGCTTTTATATTAGATTGAAATGCAGACCTTTTAATAATCTAACCTCACATGTTATTTTTGATGTCAGATTGTAAGAGTTTATATTTCTTTGGACTCTCATTCACAAAGATTCAAAGGCTTTTTTGTCGCATGCACAAAAGCTACATGTACAGCGTAGACTCTTCAAACAGTGGAACACAGTATATATACTGTTCTGTACTTAAGATATAAAATAGTGCAAGAAAATAGTGCTTGTGATCGACAATGATTGCAGAAAAATGCAGGAATAAGTAGACGATGTACATATCAAATAGAATAAGGTAAACAGAGTATACATTAAATCCTGTACAGTGGAATAAATACCATTCTTTTTTGTCTAATAAAAGGTGAGTGTGCTTCAGTGACCAGCGTCTCTCCGTGCTCTTCAGTGCTGTTTCTATCTGTCGTACAAAGAGGCACAGCTTGTCTATTACATTTGAAAGTGCGTTTTTGATGTATGAGTGTAATCTTTGTGAGAGCTTTCATTAGGATGTACTATTCAAAAGCTTTACTGTCATGTGCAAGATAGCAACAGCGGAGTTTTTGGCAATACAAAGGACATACAATATGCTTCAAACATGAAGAACATACACGAAATAGAGCAAGGAAATTACAAAACGGTGCGAGTTAAAAGCAGTAATAAGTAGACTAAGATAAATGAATTCATCCAGTGAAATAAATACGAGTCCTTCTTGTTTTCAGTGTGTAATAAAAGGTGAGTGTGCTTCACTGACCAGCGTCTCTCCGTACTCTTTAGTGATGTTTTATCATCTATCATACAAAGAGGCACAGCTTCTCTATTCAATTTGGAAAGTTCATTTTACATTTTCTTTAGGATGTACTATTCAAAAGCTTTACTGTCATGTACAAGATAGCAACAGCGGAGTTGTTGGAAATAAATAGGACATACAATATGCTTCAAACATGAAGAAAAGACATGAAATATTGCAAGAAAATAGTGCAAATTACAAAACGGTGCAAGTTACAAAGCAGTAATAAGTAGACTAAGATAAATGAATTCATCCAGTGAAATACATACTAGTCCTTCTTGTTTTCAGTGTGTAATAAAAGGTGAGTGTGCTTCACTGACCAGCGTCTCTCCGTGCTCTTTAGTGATGTTTTTTTTTATCAATTATACCGAGAGGTACAGCTTTTCTATTAAAATGAGAAGCGCGTTTTAAACGATTTTTACCTGATATAAATTTATTTTTGAACTCTAACGGGATACGTTTAATTTTTCTTGGGGCTCTTTTTAACATAGATGTAAGATTGAAAAGCTTTATTGTCACATGCAAAATAGCAACAGCGTAGTTGTTGCCAATAAACATCTTAAGTCCCAACTGTGCACCATTCAATATACAAAATACATAAGATAGTGCCAGTGACAGTATGGTGACAAGGGACACTAATTAAAAAGCAGTAATAAGTAGACTAAGATAAATGAATTCATCCAGTGAAATAAATACGAGTCCTTCTTGTTTTCAGTGTGTAATTAAAGGTGAGTGTGCTTCACTGACCAGCGTCTCTCCGTGCTCTTTAGTGATGCTTCATCATCTCTCATACAAAGAGGCACAGCTTCTCTATTCAATTTGGAAAGTTCATTTTACATTTTCTTTAGGATGTACTATTCAAAAGCTTTACTGTCATGTACAAGATAGCAACAGCGGAGTTGTTGGAAATAAATAGGACATACAATATGCTTAAAACATGAAGAAAAGACATGCAAGAAAATAGTGCAAATGACAAAAAGCAGTAATAAGTAGACTAAGCTAAATGAATTCATCCAGTGAAATACCTACCAGTCCTTCTTGTTTTCAGTGTGTATTTAAAGGTGAGTGTTTGCTTCACTGACCAGCGTCTCTCTGCAGTGCCTTCATCACTCCTCCTTCTCCTCCTCCTCCTCCTGATGCATCCTGGGAGATCAGCTGACGACTGGCTGCCTGCAGCTCTCTCTCTGCTGCTCCTCTCCTGCAGCTTCAGCCGCGCTCACAGCTCCACGCTGGAGCACGACTTCCCCCTCGTGCACAATGTCGACAACAGAAGTAAGACTTTGTTTGTTTTCTATTACCTGCAGAGATTCAAAAGGTAGAGGTGTGTGTTTATGGTCTACTTTTGGTTGACTTCAGTGACCTTCTGATTGTAAGACACCTGCAAATATATATTTTTCTGTACTTTTGAAATGTACATTGTTCAACACTCTGAGGAATATCTAAATCCACTATTTGTGGTACACATAGTCATTTCTTTTTATTAACTAAGTGCATTATTTTGTCTCAATTGACTTTTAAAAGATTTAAATTAACTAACTATAACTATTCTATTTATGTTTAGACTTTATGATGCTGCTGTAATACACTAATCCAGGGGTGTCAAACTCAAATACACAGTGGGCCAACAGTCGAGGGCCGGACTGGTTCAATGTTTATTGCAAAACGTATTGAAATGAACTTATTGCACATATTAAACCTGGAACTAACAAAGCTTCAATGATTGCCTATAAAAACAACATTAAACATTAAATAATCAGTTGCATTCATTTCTTATGGCTCAATCTGCAGCTTCTCCCGAGTCATTTCTTATGATTACATTTTTCCACAGGCCAACAACAGCTTCAACAAAACTATTTCCCTCAAAGAACAAAACCAAACATGCCCTGTTGTCTCAAGAAAGAAAGTGCAGAAGGAAACATCCATTGAACTCAGTGTGCTGCTCTGTGATGCAGTTCAGATACTTGGCATCTCATCTTGGGTGCAAGTTCATCAATGTTTGGGGTCAGGCTCTGAGCTGAGGAAACCCTCAGGATTGAGTGAAGGTGTGCGTGCAATATACCGGCGGGCCAGATCTAATAGTAATTAGAAATTATCCTGCGGGCCGAAATTAAATCCACCAAGGGCCTGATTTGGCCCCCGGGCCTTGAGTTTGACACATGCGCACTAATCTATTTGTATTAGTAGTCTGTACAACACAATGACTTCTAATGAATTAATTCAGCATATAGTTTAAGGAGATATGCTCACAGATTTTATTCAGCTCAAAATGAGAAACACCATCAATCCATTAACATGTGGAACACTTGTTTTTCATGTGATCGACTAGGTGTATTATTTTGTCACAATTTACTATACAAAAAACTGCACGATAATTCCTGTTATTTTGTTTCACTATATGTTGAATGATCTACTTTAGATAACGGTTAAAGGGTGTATGTGTCATTGTTATTATATTATTTATTTTATATACTGTGCATTTAGAGAAGAAAGACCCTATATAGACAATTAAAGGAAAAACGTCTGATTGTATGGATTAGTCTTTTAGGTTACAACATCGATTCGTTGAATTTAAAGTGTATTATAATCATACTGTTGACCGGCAGTAATGTTTTTAAACTTGTATTTCAGCAGTTTCTACAGTTATTTCAGCAATCATATCTATTTGATTCATAGATCATTTAATAAGAGGATGAAAATGATAATACTTCAGCCGGAAATATTGATTGTATAGAAGTAGAACTGAAGTAGGTATTGTGAAGAAAGGATATATAATAATAAGAATACACTTTATTTGTATAGCACCTTCCATGCACAAAGCAGCCCAAAGTGCTCTACAGAAAACACAACAATATTAAAAAACAGGGATCCTAATGAAATTCCATTGAAGTAAAGCTGACAAGATATAACATAAGAAGAAAAGACCCAAAGGGAGGGTAGAGAGGGGTTGTGTGTGAATGTGTGCAAAGGTAAAGAGTGTGTGTAATTGCACAGAAAGGAGAGCAGGTTAGTCTTTCTGTACTTTCCCCCCCTAGTGATCTCTGTTAGTATTGCACCATGCTCTGCTGACTCCTCTGTTCCTGTGTGTCCTCCAGGTCCAGAGATCGACCCCTTCTGGTACGTGGGCCGCGGGGTGAGACCCATCGGGCGCTTTGGGAAGCGGCACAGCGGCCTGCAGGGCAGCGGGGGGGCGACGCCGGGCCTCAGGACGTTATCTCTGCTGCTGCACAGCCTCAGGAACAAAGAGAGTCTGGAGGAGGAAGACAGGGACTGGTTACCCTGACACAGAACGTTTCATTTTGTATCTGAGCTCAAATACTGCTCTCACTCATACCTGTGTCTCTCTCTGGTGTCTGTGACCAGGCCTTGGTGGATGATCCTTCATATCTGTACATAAAAATGCATCTATATTGATTAATAAACGAGGATGTTGTGATTATATCTGCGCGTCACTTTGCCTTCACGATAACATATATAAAAACAGTCGTTAAAAATAAGGAATTTGTTTGGTTTTATTAACAGTTACATATTTCACATGTTATATATATGTGATATATATTGAATACTTTATCAACGGTTAAAAATATGTTTTTGGTTCATCTATCTATAATGTTTAATAGATGTTTTACAAACAATTTCCCTTAAAGTGGACCTATCATGCTATAATTGAATAATATAGTGTAGGACCATACCTATAAAAGGCATATTTATACTTTTTTTTTTTCAAAATACCAAACAGATCATGCATTTTAGCCATGCCTCATTTTGCTCAATTTGACATTTTCTAGCTGTTTTTGCAAGGGCTGATTCAATGAGAACAGCACCATCTACTGGCCTGGCATATGTACTACAGCGTCTCCAGCGCTTTCGAACGGCAATGGCTGTCTCCTCCTGATTGGTGGAGTTGGCCCAATAGCCGTAGCGCCACCGTCCTGACGTCAGGACAGTGTTCAAATCTGGATCAGTTTTTATCAGATCCGTTGCAGCCCCTTTTTTAGAGATTTGGGTATGGAGGAAAATAGAGAGGGTTGTGTTTTCTGACACTTGGTGAGTTCCCTGGAACACCGGGGACACATATTCATGTAGAAAAGACGTACAAAAGTGCATTTTGCATGATACTGTAGGTCCCCTTTAAGGTTTGCAAATCATTTGGTTGTCATTTCAAATACTTAATATAATATATAAAATGGTTATAATATCACTTATAAGAAAAAAATAGTATTTCATTAAGTAAAACAACTGTGGACTAAAGTGTAATTCACCATTAATAGTATTGGTTATTATAAAGTGTTACCACCGTCCTGTATTTGCACAACAACGATTTCTTTAGAATAAGACATCTTTTTAAGTTTGCAAATTTTATTCATTTCATAATACATGTTTGTCTCAGTGTGGCACATAGAGAATCTGTATTTTTTGCTTGATAACATTTCCCCCAACATGTCATATGGAGCGCATCGAACGATTGCACATAAAGTGAGAGTCCTACATCTCACTGGGTTTAAAGTGAGATCTGTCTGCAGCTCTGAGGGAATCTCATCATTTATCCCGAGACACCGTTACAGTAAATTCGACTTCCTGCGTGAACCCCGCCCTCAGGACAATATACACAGTCTCTTGCACACAACACTGAAAGATTGGTCAACTATGATTGGGCAATACACATATTATTCTATATCATATCCATCTTTTCACACATATACATATATTAATAAATTCTGTGATGAGAGAATATTATTTTTTACATTAGAAAAATACAGGACACTGATGATTGGACCCTTGTGGCTGTGCTTCTCATGGGACATTTTCACATCAAATTTCGATAAAACCAGAAACATGCTTTTATACATCGACACCTCCGGAGAACAAGATTGACAAAAGTACAGGATCAATGTGCAAAACCCGAGAAGTGAAAGGCTGGGATGAAGAGGGGCAGAGCATTCATTCAGAGGATCATCACACCTTTTTTAGTTCAAGCAGTCCATCAGGAAAAACAACTCTGCAGAAACGTTGACAACCGTATGCATGGCTAACTGAGAATCTGACTAATGCAAGTGGTCACAGAGTAAAGAAAAACAACCAAAAATGAAAGGCAGTATTCTCAAATCTAGTGTTTAAGGAGTACAAATACAGTGTGTATCAGTGTGTACTAGCCGCTCCAAAGATGCCTGTTGACACCCGTGTTTTTGCATCATTTACCATCGTCATTACTGGCAGAATATCAAATGGTAAATGCAGGCGTACACTGAAAGCACTTTGAGTCATAGAACCGACTGAGGAGGGCTCCTTTGAGGAGAGAATAAAGCCTTCAATGTGCAATAGTACTTATATCAGTGATATTGCATAAAAACGTTCAGTAAGTACAAAAATAAATTGCTTGTAACAAAATCATGGTTTCATGGCATTTGTTTTATAGCCCATGTGACTTCATTATGTAAAAAATCTTTGCAAGATTGAATGAATGCAACACAAAAGTTTGGACATGACACAGCGAAAGGTTAAAACATGAAAATACCTTTTTGTTTAGAAAAGGCCACAACGTTTGAAAGTAAACAAATAAAATGACTTTGGGTTGAAGAATACTGAACAGGGGGAACGTTGGCAAACCTGAATGTCAGACCTGAGCTGAGTTTGTCTGACATTCAGACATTAGTTTCACTCGTTTCAATGTAGAAGCCCATAGCTCTCACATTAAGGCTGTGTGTGTTTCTACTTAGCTTTAATAATACTTGGAAGAAAGCACTTCCTCGACATGTATTTGAAGAATAATTGGACATTATGGGAAATACACTTTTTCATTTAATGAGAATCGTGTGTCTGTAGCCTTGTTATGAAGCTAATTAGCTGGTTAGCTTAGCTTAGCTTAAAGACTGAAATTCAGGAGAAACATTTAGACTGGCTCTGTCTGACGGAACAATATATGTCTATCTTTTGTACAGTTAAAACAAAAATATAAATCTCTATATGTATATGTATGTAAAGGTGAACTTTAGAAGTGCTGCTAATATCATAACCTTTGTGAAGTCAAGCTAGCAAGCTAGAGTCTTTATGCTAAACTAAGCTAACGGCTTCATATGAACTGTACAAACTCTACTGTAGTTTTGATCTTTGTCTGTAAATCTAGTCAAGAAGTTATTTCCCAATACCAATCAAGTAACTACTTTATTTGAGGCCGTAAAGAAGGGATAAAAGATTTCTCAAATGTGCTTTGTTTTTCCTTTTTAGCCCTCTAGCATTTTCAGTGTTAGGAAGGAAGGACGAAAACAGTCGTGGCCCTGATACCTTGTGTATCTTAACCCTTATTTTCTGGCAAGTGCATGAATTATTAAAATGGTTAACATATCAAAGGTGTTACAATCATTCCCCAAATGAGGATTACCATCTGATAGCTGTGTGTGGAAATCATCCATAAAAGCTCTGAGGGGGGCTTAGAGTTTGACATGTCACCTGTTGAGAAAGAGGATGCAGTATAAAACACTGGATCACAGAAAGTTTCACATGATTTTTCCACGTCTTCATTGTACAGTAAATCACAATACTCTTGCAAACAGATAGAAAAGGGGAATGAGAGTTATTCTTGTCTGTACAGATGTTATTTTTGCCATGAGGATTGTTTGCAGATTTTTAAGGCAGAGACTGTCGAGTTATCCTTGCTTTATGTTACGAAGTGAAGAAATGGACGATTCATGGAAAAGACCAAAGAGCCAGTTGTCTCTTTTGCCGGTTTTTGACTGACAGGGTACCGACAGAGTGCTTTTAGGGTCACAGGGCAGGTGTTGGCCCCTGATTGGCCTGGAGGCGGACACTGGGTCAAGGCACTGGATGAGAGGGGCCCGTCCCTGGGGCTCTGAAACCGCCCTGAGGGACTCCTTGTGCTGCTGACTGTCACTACGGCCGAAACACTTTCACCTGTTGCTCTGGCTCCAACTTCTCTGAAATTCAAAAGAAGAAAAAATGGCATTTAATATCCAACATATGACTTCCTGCCTGTGAGTTTGGTGGCATCCATTGCAGTCATTGCTGTCAGCTTCACTCGGATAGGATTTGTTTTAATGTTAATAGTCCATGAAGTTTTTATCTAAAGCCGAATTACCCGCAAAGGTCTCCGCCTTTCCCAAAACAAACAGAGCCGGCGTTTTAAACTGTTTACATACTGAATAAAGCAGTTTTATGTTTAAAATGTGTGTTTCTCGAAGGCAGTTTGGCAGACAGAAGATGTACAGGCTGCGAGATAACAATAACGTTTCTCATCTTATTTATCTTATAGCTTAAGATCCAGACATCCAATAAAAAAGCTTTATTGGGTTAAAATGTATATTTAAAAGTACCAAAATCTATACGTTTTATTGTAAACAAATGTGGGTTAAAATTCATAATCTCGCAGACAACTGTAACGCTGGCAAATTTTCAAATGGATAAACTGCTTTTACCAAAGACCAAATGAAACGTAAATAAAATTACAGATTTCTCTAGGTTTACTGAAAGAAGTAAACAACTAAACCAAATATATAACGGGGGTCCAATTGTTTTACATTTTAATGGGGAAAAGTTACATAATATGATCCCAAAAGTAGGACTTTATGAAGCTCCATCTAGCAGAAAAATGGGGTTGTCCAGAGAAAAAGGAGAAACTATTAATAACATATGATTCAGATGAACACATCAGACTTGTGTCTAAAAGTCACGACAGTCTTTACCAGTCATACATTTAGTGCATAGTGTACGATGGCCAGACTAAAAGGACACGTTAAGCTGGAACGAGCGATGTGATTACATGTCTCGGTCACTGATTTTGCCCCATTGTCCAGCGTGCTTTCTGGCTTTGGAGATGTGCTGAAAAAGCCACCCTGAATCAGAGCTATTGTGCGGATTCTGCTAAAGGGAAAATCGAGACAGACGAACAGAAAAAGGCCATTCACTGATATGAAAAAGAGAACCGAATTCTTGTAGGTTGATACATCTAATGGAGCTTTTCAGTTCCTTAGTCCCATTCGAGCAGATGTATTCACATCCTTTCATCCGCCAATGACAAAGCGTAAAAGGTGTGATGTTAACTAAAGATGAAGCCTTTCGTTTCACTCCCCATCTGCAGCGGTTTCACACACACAGAGCGTGTTTGTGTTTAGGAGACTTTGCAATGATGATGTGTGAGTTAGCATGGTTGGAGACACATTTTGCATTATCTATCCATGACTGGTATAGTGGAGGGTTCACTGTACAGAAGATAGAACATCAACGCAGTAAATGTATTCAACACTGCTCTGAAAAGTACTCCAGAAAATGTATGTTTATTTCAATATAGTACTAGATGTTTCCAAATGTATGTATGCATGCAAATAGAGGAGTACAAAAACAAGAAAATTCACATTTAAAAAGCAGGAATCAGAGAATTTTTTGTGTGTTCTCTGAAGACGTTACTCTCACCAAGTAATCGATGGGTGAAAAAGCTGCCAATTAATCTCACAGTTGACAGGTAGGTGATTTTTGCATTTCTAATCAGCAGCTTGTGTGCGCTACCCGTTGTGCAGCGACACATAAACACATACGCTGCTGGTCTTTAATCAGCTGTTGTGGCGTAACTAGGTTCAGAACAAAGAACTGGACGTAAGAAATGCAGTAGTGATGGAGGAGGGTAGAATGTGCATTTTTAGATCTTTATGCTTTGATGCTTTAAAAGATGTTGCAGTGAATAGACGATCTCTTGTTACTGTGCAGCCTGCGGCCAGAGGAGAGCAATTAAGCTTTGTGGTTTGCAGCTGAGGAATCAGGCATTTAATCACCTTCAGTTACAACACAGCTCGAAAAATAACTCATTTTATTTCAATATAGGTTTAGATTTGTCACAGTTATATATGTTATCTTATTGTTTACATGTTACCGAATGAATGTATGCATGCAAATAGTTTGTATATGTATGTACTGTGCAAAATAAACCTTGTTAGGTACCTTTCAGTGGGGGGGCAGGGAGCTTCCTCCTCTGATGGCGTGATGAGTCCAGGGTTTGAGGCTGTAATCAGAGTATTGGTATTATACACTTCATCCTAATACTTTATGATAAAATGCTAAGACCATGGAGATATAGAACATATTTCTGTGTTGGAGAGTGCCTCGAGTTACCATGGCCTTTGGCTTGAACTTGGAGAAATGATTGCAGACATTCACATTCAACCCAGCTGTTTTCAGAGCGGATATCCTCGCCTCGATGTTCGAAATCTGAAGAGGAGACACAGACTTTATTTAAGGGGAGACACTTCAGGTGAATAGGGCGAACATTTTCACTAGAAGATATCACCAAGAAACTTCCCCAGCTGATGACTTACATTCAGACAATTGCTTATAGTTCATTTTTTGAGATGTTATGTTTATATATGGGAATGAGGCATCATCTAATGCTAATTTATTAATTTGCACTAGTCTGAAGGAAGACTTGTTATGGAGGAATAATTGCCTAAACTCTCAGAATGAACCAGTGCATGAAGAACAATGTCTAATCCTATAGTTTCTCGCCTTAAAGCACAATTAAATACAACATAATTAGAATTTTTCTTTTAAATAAACTATATTGCGTTGAAGAGTCTGTGATTTGGGGCATGCATGGCCCAAACCAAACTGCAGGACCCCTCCTCTCAAGTACCTGTATCTCAGAGTGCTGCACCTGGGCGGCAGCAGAGGCCACCTGGTCCTCCAGGAAGGACAGCTCTGTGTCGCTGGTGCCGCTCTGAATGCTGCGTGCGCACTCCTCCAGGTCCCCCAGCTCCCCCTCCAGGCCGTACACCTCACCTGCAGCCAGGTACACCTACAAAGGGGAGAAGATGAGAAGATTCAAAGGTTTTATTGTCATATGCACAAAGCTACAGTGTAGAAATGGCAATGAAATTATTTTGACCTGAGCTCCTCCAACAATGCAACATATATAATGAAATACATATAAATAAGTAGATTAAGCATTTAGGCCCAGTTCCAAACCGCCCCCTACACACAAATGGTTGCCTCAGATTATTTTTTACTTACATTACATTACATTACACTTGTTAGACGCTTTATCCAAAGCGAATTACATACTCAATACTGTGGACAATCCCCACAGGAGCAATTTGGGGTGAAGTGTCTCAGGGACACAACGACATGCTGACTGCAGTGGGGTTTGAACCTGTGACCCCCTGATCCGAACACCTACGGACAAACCACTGCGCCACACGCCTACTTAGGATCATATCCCCATGGCTAGTCTAGAAAAAGGTAAACGTGTGGATTTGATCGTACAGTTTTGTATATTTACGAAGACTGACAGGACAACAGATCATTACAGTCCTTAGCAACGGTCATTACAGTCCTTGACAGCGGTCTGTTCTACTGGATTAACGTGTCACATGTTCTGAATTGACCAATCAGAACTTTATTTAGCCTCTGTATTGTTTATGGTTGAATGTGGGCCGTACATCTTTTCTTAAAGAGGGCCCTGAGTTGAAAAGGTTGGGAACCGCTGCCCTAGCTGTAAGAAGGTAGCCTCATTCTGCTGTGAGTGTTTGGGGCCTTAGTTTCAGATCACATTACATTACTTTTATCATTTGGCGGTAAGTTGCTTACGTTCTCCTCCATCTTGGTGAGCCTCTGGTCCAGCTGGCGGGTGTCGGAGCTGTTGGACACGGGGGGGGGCGCTGAGGGGCTCTGATTGGCTGAAGCTCTCTCCTCCTGCCTCTCCGATCAGCTCCTGTGTGGCGTTCAACACCTTCAGCACCTCCGTGGTGATGCTGCAGAGAGAGGCCGCCGAGTACTTCTGCTTCACCACACACACACACACACACACACACACACACACACACACACACACACACACACACACACATCAGACGCAGTGATACTCTGAGAAACCTTTTAAGGGACGTTGAGAGCAAAATGAGTCGATGCATGTGTGGAGAGAAGTAGGACATAGATAGTGAAAAACATCTTTCAGGAAGCCAGGGGATTTTACAAAATACAATTAGGCAAACACATTTGATGATAGAAGGGGAGCAAACAAATGCGACAGCCCTATATGATGTCCTTCAAATAATCTTATCATATCCCCCACTCAAATATATTTTGTTTATTGTCATAGAGGAGTACAAACATTAGAAAATTCACATTTAAAAAGCCAGGAATCAGACAATTTTTTACGTGTTTTCTGAAGACGTTTTTTCACCTTTTCACCATGTAATCGATTTGTGAAAAAGCTGCCAATTAATCTCATAGTTGATTTTTGCATTTCTAATCAGCAGCTCGAGTTATAGACTCTTCTTGCACTATTTCAATTGTATTTGTATTCACTTGCACCTCTCAAAACATTCCTTGCACAGTGGAGGTGCCTGTGACCTAAGTTGTTCATTGCCATATCTACACTGTACTGTAGCTAATGTGCACATTACAATAAACAAGCCTTGAATCTTGTGCTGCTGCTGTGAGGTACGCAGGTGCAGAACAAAGAACTGGACGTGAGAAATGCAGCAGTGATGGAGGAGGACAGAAAGTGAGAAAGCTTTTAAGACAAAGCCTAAGGAGGCATCTTTTACATCTTGAGGCTTTGAAGATCTCGTGTTACTGTGTAGTAGCAATCATGGCGTTTAGTTTGCAGCCGAGGAATCAGGCATCGAATCACCTCCCAGATGTTAGATAAAGCTCACATCCTGCATTGTATGACCAAGGAAAAACTAAACATGTAATGTAACCAATGGAGTTTTGTTGAACATCACGAGCTCAGTTTAGTCATTTGGAAAAGGATGAACAAATCAGCAAAGTAGAAAAACAAAAACATGTTTATTCATTTTTGTTTACTGCTTGTTTACTGGAGCAGCTCGTTCCTCCAAATCCATGCCTGCCTCCAAATCTCTGACGACTAATGATATAAATAGTGAAGAAAGCTGCCGTGCCCGTTTCTGAATAGATGAAAACACTGAGCAGCAAGGAAAGGAGAGGAGAGTGAAGAGAGACGGATCATATTCAATAATGAATGAATCACCGGCTGAAGCTTTGATCAGTGAGTATTGATCCGTGTGTTTATGTAACGAGATGAGAGGCAACATATTATCTTAAAAAAACAAACATTAGCACTGATCTTAAGACTGAAGCAGAGATATCGACATGGGTTGATCGATGGAGGAAAGATTGATATTTGGTAAGAGGGCCGTGAACATGAAGATCAAACAAGCTCCACTATTAAAGTTGAAAATAAACATAATGTGTATTTAAAACATAATTTAGCTGACATACAAGTTGGTGAAGAAGGTAAGAGTCACTGGAATATAAGCGCAGTTATTTAATCCATTAAAACAATAATCTGTATTTATTCCGTATGCAATGTACACATTATAAAGCCCCCTGAGAGATATGTGATATTGGGCTTTATAGATAACATTTAATTGAGTTATAGTATTGAATAGTAGAAGCTAGTTTAGGGATCACTTTTGTAAGAATGGGTTAGGACTCAAAATGTGTTTTTCTGGTCCTTTTGCCTTTCTTGAGTTGTTCTACATCTCATTGCTCTGGTATTAGTGGGCGAGTTTGAGGATCTATTTCTGTCTGAACAACAGACCAACATTCCCCTCAGCTTTTCGGTTAGCATAAAGTTGGTTTAGGTCAGTTCCTCTAGTCTATTTCAGATCCATCATCTCTTGAGGGACGGCAAAGTGCTCACCCGCCTTCCCCTCCTGAGTGCATACCAAAATAAGCCATTTATTTTTAAGCAACACATTAGCCTGTGATTTCAGTGTTTAATTCTGTCTGGTGTGTGTGTGTGTGTGTGTGTGTGTGTGTGTGTGTGTGTGTGTGTGTGTGTGTGTGTGTGTGTGTGTGTGTGTGTGTGTGTGTGTGTGTGTGTGTGTGTGTGTGTGTGTGTGTTTTATAAGTCCATCGACCTGCCTTTGTGTGGGTATGACTGGTCAATACATTCATGGGAATATCAATACTGGAACACAGCTTTTAAACTTACTAATGGATCGTTGATTTTACAACCAGATTATGAAATGTGGATAATTTCTACAATCTACAACATAACTGTGTCCAGATTCCATAAACACGCACATACAGCACTCAGTATGCACTGCATTTACTATTATAGTTATTACACAAGAATTCACACATTTTTTTACAGGAAATAAAGCAATACGTTATTTGATTTTCAACTTTCATATGTCACTGTCTCGATTATGGCAAAAATCATAATCACGATTATTTTGGTCAATAATTGATATCACGATTATTAAAAACGATTATCCATTTACTTTGAAAACATCCATTTATTTAAAAAAAAAATGAACAGTATGTTTTTAACAGTTGATTACCCTGAACTTTAAGTATAATTCAACTGAAAACACAATAAAAAATAAAAAATAAATTAAATAAAATAATAAAATAATAATCGTTTTATTTCGATTACGTTGTTTTCGTAATCGTTGCAAGCCAAAATCGTAATCGAGATTAAAATACGATTAATTGCACAGCCCTACTGTCAGCTAAAATTCAGATTTTGGACATTTGAAGTTGTTACAGTTGATTTTGGGAGTTGCTGAATTGTTTTCATTTTGGATTTGTAATTGTTTTAGTTGCTCCTGGTTGCTTTGTCATTTCCTGTACCCACTTCAACTGAACACGACTTTTTATGCTTCTGCTATAATTAAAACGTGTACATAAAGAAAGCAGCAATGGCACAGAGGCAGTTTCTTCCAGTCAAAACCAAACAGAACAGCGCTTGTGTCTTCAAACCACTCTAACCTTATGAGCCTTTTATTAAAAATATCCATTCCAGACTTTCTGTGAAAGATATCTTCCAGTATAACTCCTGAAAACCACTTCTAAGCAGTTTATAAAGAAACACCAGGCTGGTTTACTTTGTATTGCAATTTCACAACAGCTGCAGCTACTAAAGGTGTGTGTGTGTGTGTGTGTGTGTGTGTGTGTGTGTGTGTGTGTGTGTGTGTGTGATAATGGAGGTTTGCACGAGACATGACAGAATTCTGTTGCTTTCACGCTGATATCTCACCTGCTGCAAGAGAGAGGAGAGCAACTGAAGCCTCTGCTGTTGCTCCAAGTCATGCTGTTCTTCCTGACACACACACACACACACACACACACACACACACACACACACACACACACACACACACACACACACACACACACACACACACACACACACACACACACACACACACACACACACACACACACACACACACACACACACACACACACACACACACACACACCACACACACACACCACACACACACACACACACACACACACACACACACACACACACACACACACACACACACACACACACACACCCAAAAAAGAAGAAGGGAAGCACAGAGAAAGACGGAAACACAGGATGAAGGAGGCAGTGAGGATGGAGGAGGCAGTGAGGATGAAGGAGGCAGTGAGGATGAAGGAGGCAGTGAGGATGAAGGAGGCAGTGAGGATGAAGGAGGCAGTGAGGATGAAGGAGGCAGTGAGGATGAAGGAGGCAGTGAGGATGAAGAGTGATTGAGAAAGTTAGACAGACAGGCAGACAGAAGCAGAAGACGAGTGTTGTTCTCCTGATCTCCTCACCTGGTTGTCTGACAGCGCCCCCTCCTGGAAGGATGGAGTAACAGCAGGTGAACTAGCGCTGGATCCACTCCTCCTCGCCTCCTTCTCAGAGTCTCTCTTGTGTTGTCTCTTACGTTGTCTCTCGTCTCCTCTCTTTGGCTCCCACTCTTCTACCTTCTCTTCCAAACACTCGACCCCCATCTCTAACCTCGTCTCCTCCCTCTCTGAAGGACTCTTTATTAGTCTCTCCTCCGGCCCGTTCCCTTGTTCCACCGTCTCACTTTCTGCCTCTCTTTCTTCCCTCAGTCTGTCACTTCCTCTCTGTCTCTCGGTGTCTCTCGTCCTCTCCTCCTCTTCCTCCTCCTCCTTCTCCTCCGACGAGCTGCAGTCTTTGCTGTTTGCTCTGCTGACCAGCTGGCTGAGTCTGGCCCTCAGCTCCTCCTCCAGAGAGTCTGCAGGCGGGGGTCCCGGGGCCACAGATTGGGGCTGTGGAGGGCTGGGGGCCGCTGAATCTGGTGCCACCGTGTCCAAGTCCTCTGGCTCAGGGGTCATGGCGTCTGATTTGAAGGCGTCCGGGGCAGCTGATGGCACAGAGTCGGGAGCTGACTGCTCCTCACTGAGGCCCCGCTTCAGGAGAGCGTTGAGGAGGACACCACTGTTCTCCTTCAGGGGGGGGGGGACAAAGAGACATCATCAAAAAGTCATACATCATGCTCATTGTTTAACAAACTGCAAACGACTCAATTCCTTCTACAATCAGATGAACTGCATTATCAAACAGCCTCTCAATGGGGAAACACTATCTCACACTTCATTTCTCAATGGCATAGGGGAATGATCAGATTGAAAGGCTTTATTGTCATATGCACAATAGTTACAATGAACATCTGAAGTTCCAGGCTTCTTCAGTGCAACCAACAATATACTTAGAACATTAAAAGAGTGCAAGAATAAATAGAAATAGGATAGTGCAAGAGAGGTGCAACGGACACAATGGTGCAAGTAAAATGCACTATATACATGTAAAATAGAGCACATGTGTCAAACTCAAGGCCCGGGGGCCAAATCCGGCCCGTGGTGGATTTAATTTCGGCCCGCAGGATAATTTGTAATTACTATTAGATCTGGCCTGCCGGTATATTGCACGCACACCTTCACTCCATCCTGAGCCCAAACATTGATGAACTTGCACCCAAGATGAGATGCCAAGTATCTGGCTTGAACTAGCATCACAGAGCAGCACACTGAGTTCAATGGATGTTTCCTTCTGCACTTTCTTTCTTGAGACAACAGGGCATGTTTGGTTTGTTCTTTGAGGGAAATTGTTTTTTGAAGCTGTTGTTGGCCTGTGGAGAAATGTAATCATAAGAAATGACTGAGGAAAAGCTGCAGATTGAGCCATAAGAAATGAATGCAACTGATTATTTAATGTTTCATGTTGTTTTTATAGGCAATGATTTAAGCTTTGTTAGTTCCAGGTTTAATATGTGCAATAAGTTCATTTCAATACGTTTTGCTATAAACATTGAACCAGTCCGGCCCTCGACTAGTACCCATTTTTAAATGTTGGCCCACTGTGTATTTGAGTTTGACACCCCTGAAATAGAGTAATATAAGATAATTAAATGTGATACTTTACAATAGCCCAAACGTTCAGTATAGATCAGTGCATGTTTTTGCCTATACTGTTTTGTCTTAAGAATCTGTCAGGAAAGCCTGTGAGTGCAGGTGTGATGTACCTGATGATGGACTGAGAGTGAGTGCAGGTGTGATGTACCTGTAGATGGACTGAGAGTGAGTACAGGTGTGATGTACCTGTAGATGGACTGAGAGTGAGTACAGGTGTGATGTACCTGTAGATGGACTGAGAGTGAGTGCAGGTGTGATGTACCTGTAGATGGACTGAGAGTGAGTACAGGTGTGATGTACCTGTAGATGGACTGAGAGTGAGTACAGGTGTGATGTACCTGTAGATGGACTGAGAGTGAGTACAGGTGTGATGTACCTGTAGATGGGCTGAGAGTGAGTACAGGTGTGATGTACCTGTAGATGGACTGAGAGTGAGTGCAGGTGTGATGTACCTGATGGACTGAGCGTGAGTGCAGGTGTGATGTACCTGTAGATGGACTGAGAGTGAGTGCAGGTGTGATGTACCTGTAGATGGACTGAGAGTGAGTGCAGGTGTGATGTACCTGATGGACTGAGAGTGAGTGCAGGTGTGATGTACCTGTAGATGGACTGAGAGTGAGTACAGGTGTGATGTACCTGTAGATGGACTGAGAGTGAGTGCAGGTGTGATGTACCTGAGCTAGAGGGTAGATGGACTGAGAGTGAGTGCAGGTGTGATGTACCTGAGCTAGAGGGTAGATGGACTGAGCGTGGCTCCCTGCAGCTTTCTGCTCTGATGAAGACTCTCTCTTGCTCTTCCTGCGTCTCCGTGACCTCCGGACGGGGTCGATCTGCTTCTCCTCCGCCTCGCTGCTGTCCCCCGTCACCTGGGAACACACATCACACTTCAACTTTAGTATTTCATTTTTCAATGCCAGTTCACATTTCAGACAGTACCTTTTTACCCTGCAATGATTGTATTTCCTAAACTATGCACTGGATGAGAGTTTTAGCGAGACTTACTCACTCACTTACTTTAATAATGTCATTGTGTGATTCTTATTTTCTAATGTTTATCTATATTTACTTCTTCTCACACTTCTTAGCTAAGCTTGGAAAAGTCCTTATTAAGACGATGTGTTGCAGTGTTGTTAGTTACTCTCCATGTGCACCAACAGTATGACCTTCAACTCAGGTGAACGGAGAACTTCCTGATACGGCCTCCCTAACTCCCTAACTCCCAGAATGCTCCTTCATGATCACCAAGCTTCCCTTTCACTCTGTATGCTCTCTGTGTGACTAACTGAACTTTCTTGCAAGAAATAAAATACGACAGACAGCTGAATGGTTTGATTCTGTATCCACATTTGATAAATAAATTCCCACCACACATATAAAAGTATTTGTAAGTATAAAATAAAGCTGAGTTTAACCTTGGGGTTGAAGTTGACGTCCAGGGCCTCTGAGGGCACTGGGTACGGGGAGAGGTTCTGGTGGAGGTGTTGGTGGTACAGCGGCTGGTGGGGGGGGTGCAGGTGTGTGTCGGTGGGGGGTCCTTTCTTCCTCAGCAGGTTGTGGGGGGGGTTTCGGGGACAGGCCGACAGCACGGACGAGGCCTCGGAGTCCGAGTTGAGCGTCTCTGTGTTGGTGTACTGCCCGGAGGAGGGGGAGGTGACGGGCAGGTGCTGCGTGTACGTCCACTCGGGGTCGTGCTGAGAGTCCGTGTAGTACGTCTCGTCGGACATTTTGCGCCTGAACTGTCTCAGCGCCGCCCCCCAGCCGCCCTCGTCGTCCGGCTCAGAGTCGGACCCCATCCCGTCGTACGCCGACACCACGCCGGACTCCTTCTCCAGCGCGCTGAACACCAGGCTCTTCCTCTTGGTCAGCAGGCTGGGCCGGGACAGCTGGGAGCTGTGCAGAGCGATCCAGTTCCCGTCCGGACTCTGGAGCACCGAGGACGCACCTGCAGGGACAGGAAGTTCAGAGACACTGACAGAACTGCACTCTGAGGATAGGCTGTTTGACACTGACTACTTAAAGATTAGATTCCTTTTATTGTCACTACACAGAGTACAGCGAAATTTCAAGCATTCCCGATGGTGCAATCACACATAACAGACAGAATAAGTATCAAATACAAGCTAAAACTTTTAATATATGATATATAAAGTGACTATAATTTGGACCTATGATAGATTGAACAGTACGCTTACAAAACAATACAACATTACCATAAAATACAAGAACAATACGGTCAAGGCAGTACAAAAAGTCAGTAAGTAAGTTATTGCGCATGTATTTATCAGTGCAGTTGATGCAGAGCAAAGATTAAAGCGTCTACTGAGCTGTGAAAATGTATTCTGATGATGATTGAGCACATTTCAATTTCAATATACAGACATTTCTTTATCCACGTTGTATATTTTCCAGCTATAAGAAGGTCGTCCTGGGGCCTGAAACATTAAGCCCCCACCCCCTCCCCCAGCTTGATGTTCCCTTTGTGGGCTTTTTGTGTTTTATTGTCTTAAATACGTCCTGCTGCAAAAACCAATTGGGAGAAAAATAAAGCTGAAATGCTTTAATCGATTTTATTGTGCATCCTATTTGTCATACTCGCATCTGCACCCAGAGAGAGAGAGAGAGAGAGAGAGAGAGAGAGAGAGAGAGAGAGAGAGAGAGAGAGAGAGAGAGAGAGAGAGAGAGAGAGAGAGAGAGAGAGAGAGAGAGAGAGAGAGAGAGAGAGAGAGAGAGAGACTGTGTGTTGTTTCCTGGTTGTGTGTCTGTGTGAAAGAAGAGTGGAACTGCCTAACCTCTCTGTTAGGAGAAAATGGAAAAGGTACAAGTGTGTATGGAGTTATGTCAGCGGCACAAAGCTGGTATTGTTTTCAATCTGTGAGTGTGTGTGTGTGAGTGTATGTGTGTGTGTGTGTGTGTGTGCCACTGTGGGAGAAAAATAAAACTGAAATGCTTTAATCAATTTTATTGCGCATCCTATTTGTCATACTCGCATCTGCGCGTGTGTGTGTGTGTGTGTGTGTGTGTGTGTGTGTGTGTGGTGTGTGTGTGTGTGTGTGTGTGTGTGTGTGTGTGTGTGTGTGTGTGTGATGTTTACTGGAGTTGTCCAGGCGGTCCACACTCTTCCAGCTGGGGAGTGCTGTGGCCTTGCCCTCCCTCTTTAGAGAGGTGTAATCTTGTAACCCTCCACCGGCCCGGGCCCCCCCCTCTTCCTCCAGACCCTTCTCTGGGGAGTCGTCACTGGTTAGGGAGAACGCTGAGCGCGAACGCTGTAGACAAAAACACAGGCAAAAATATGATTTGTGAGAAGAAAAAAAAATCAAATGCATGCACCTCTGCTGATATAAACAATAAGCGTCTGAGCTCAGGCATCAGTCTCTCTGGAAAGAAAACGTTTAAAACTCTGGAAATGTAAAGTAGTAAATCAGTCTGGTCTGTATATAAGATCATTGTTGACTTGAGTCTGAGCAGCTGCAGACAGGTTTTACTGCCTGGACGGCGGCAGCAGTCACATATAATATCCACTTACAGTAATTACATAATATAAAGGAAAGCCCTGCTGGCTAGTCTACTTCCTGTCTGGGCAGAAAGCTGTGGCTGTGAGTCAACAATCCCACCAGCAGGGGGAGCTAGACAACAACTAAAGAGCAAAGCAGACAACAGAGGCTCGACAGTCATCTGTGAGAGACATGTTGTGGAAGTTATAGGATCATAACATGTCTTTATATTAAAGAAACAAACAAAAAAACTAGAGCAAGACACTTTGCCTGCTCTGTTAAACTTTAAGGCAAATTAACAGGTCTACTCTTACTCATCTTGTCAATTAGATCTTCATCCTAAAGATTTGGGGTCAACAAATTCGACTTCCATCTTACAAAACAGTCTAAAAAGACATTTGAACTGCCTGCTTTCCCCCATGTATCTGATGGTGTTCTTGTATTGAATCTTATTTTCTTTTGCTTTGTTTCACTTAGGTGACATTTAGCATTGCTATTGCCCAGGAGTCAATGCAGGTGTATCAAGCAATACACCTCTCAGAAACACATGCATGCACACATGTGTAGATTTAGTAGCTGTTCCACTGGGAATGAAAGGAACAATATGGAGGGGATTTAAAGCTCATTCATGTGCACAAGCTAAACTTAAATCTCATTGGTGAACAGTCGGTCTTTCCCATGACTTAACATCCAAGTTAAAGAACTGCATATCTAAAGTATGGACAAGTAGAGAAAATATATACGTTTGTAGAATGGGTGGGATGCACTGTTCAGATTACTCTAAGCATCATTGTTGAGGCAGTGCAGATTTGAGTGTGTATTTGCATGCCTGGTGTCTTAGTGTTTGCAGAGAGCTGATAAACAGCGCCTGTGTGTGTGTGTGTGTGTGTGTGTGTGTGTGTGTGTGTGGGGGGGGGGAGGATCCCCTCGTATTTCACGGGACTTTGATCCACGCTGAGTGAAACAGCGGGAAACAGAACGGCGAGGCCAGGGGAGCGCAGCTTTGAAGCTTCGCTCACACACGGGACGATGACAAATCTGCAGGAGTCCCCGCTGACTCGTAGTGAGAGGCAGGTGTGTGTGAGTGTGTGTGTGTGTGTGTGTACTATACACCTCAGTGAGTCCCTGTGTGTAGTTTTTTTCAAACCTGGAACATTAAGTGAAACCGGTATTCTGTGGATTTGGATTGACTTGGCACACATTTGTAATATTTGTAAGGCTTTGCCAACTTAAGGGGAGAATCCACTGTAAAACACTTCTAAAGAGAAAAGCTAAGCCAGGCACCTGGGGGTCTATTTTGTTGCTAAGTGGGCTATTTTCCCTGAAGCATACAGTAGATGAACCTAAAAAGCAGCACGTGTACTGTCTACCAAATCCAAGGAATCCTCTAAATGAGACAATTTGAACACATTTTTTGTTTGAATATGCTTCTAGAAAAGCATGAAAATCTACATCATTGTCAACTTTTTGCACTTTTTTGGAGAATACCTTAATCCTGCAAAACATTAAGTGGACAAAGTAAAGGAATTCTAACTCATCACCACTAGATCTGAAGAGAAATGCAACCCTTAATAAGACCACATCATCCCCACTACAGTCTACTACTGTCCTTAGGCAAGACACTTCACCTGAACTTGCTCCAGTGGGTATTGTCTACAGTAGATGACCATTACATGTATGTATGATCTGTATGTGTAATGTGTATTTGTAAAGTATATAATAATAATATAATAAATATAAGGATTATTATTATTATTATTATTACTATAATCTGTATAAAAGAGGAAGTAATCAACATAAAAAGGCACCCTTTGGTCGCCACTATCTAGTTGTTTTGAAAGCAGCACTGACATGAGAGGTTGGAACTTAGTAGAGCTGAACATGATATTTTTAGGAGAAGATATCATATACTTCTATACAACCTGAATTATTTTGTAACCAGTGTTGGAGATGAGAAAGAAAATCCCGTTTTAGACACTTGGCTTCACTTTTCAGACGTGGAGGTTGTCTCCTGGGTGCCACTGAAACGATTCATGCCAAACACAACATTCCTGTGTTTTTTTAAACATGGCAAACACAGAGACAGTGGCTGAGAAACACATAACGAAACACAGACCCTCCACTGTTTGAACTCTGAAACTAAGCGAGAAAACCAAACCACTATTGTTTAAAACCAAATCTGCAAAGAGTTTAGAAAACTGGTGAACACTCAGCAGTTCACACGCGCTGACAGCACAGCTTTGTGGGGACTTCACCAGATCCGGTTGACATTTCTTTGTGTTTTTTTTTTAGTTTGAGCAGATTCATCACTGACCCACAGAGAGTAGGAGGTCTTCAGAGGGTCCTGGGGAGCTTGTGAAGACGCTTGAGGCTGCGACGGAGAGGTGAGTTCACCGGACTGGATTGGATTCTGAGGCTGCGGCCAGACAAAGTCGTACTCTGTCTGCATCTCCGAGCGCTTCCTCCTCTGGATGATCTGAGCAGAGAGGGAATAGAGAAGGATAGAGCTTGATTACACTTTTGCATTTTGGAGGGGTCCCGACACTGGACGGGTTGTCGCGGGGAGGAGGTGCTGCCGTACTGACATTTATTGTTCATTATTGACATTTGTTTTAGATTACTGGTTTTCTATTTATTTATTATTTATTTATTAATTATTTATTTATTTATTATTTATTTATTTAATTAATTAATTTTATTTATTCTGTCTGTGTATAATAAATCCAGTTCAACATACCCTGGATATGTTTGAGTTATCTGGCTTAACTAATCCAAAACAAACGCGCTCTCGCTAAGTGGTCCTACGACGCTGGTTATCAACTCGGTAACTCAAGCCAGGGTTTCTCTGTCCGGCTGAGTGTGCGTTCACATGAAAGGGGCGGGGTTAGCAACATTTGACCAATCACAAACATGGACAAGCGTACTGACAGCGCAACGTCATACTTCCTGAATGAAAAGTGAACTATAATATTAGACAAATATGAAGACGTTAAACATTAAACATCCATGACTTAAACACTTTATCCAGGATCAAAGCCACATAGCTGCAGCTGCAAGGTGAATACAGCTGGTAACAGAAAAAGTGTTTGAATGCGTACATTAACAGGTTTATGAAATGCCCCGTCTAAGACACGAGTGGATCTGACTTTAATTACATTTGACTCAAGTGTTTCGTCAACTTAATGTGTTGCTTAAAATAATACTTCTGCATACAGTATGTGACACTGTGAGTGTTGCACGGCCAGATACGGCTCAGCTGACTCAGATAAGGAAATATATGATACATTATGATGTGATATGATATGAATGATAATGGGACACATCGACGTCTCATTTCATTTCATTTCAAACCTTTATTTATCCAGGTGTATCCCATTGAGATCATTGATCTCTTTTTCAAGGGAGACCTGCACTCAGTGCTGCGGACTGTACTTAATGTTACTCTGATCCGGTTACTTATGTTGTGGCAGATATTTAAGTAAGCTTTCTTAACGCTAATGTTATAATAGATTGCTCTGAAGATGGGAGGGGATATTCTATTAATTTTCACGTTCACACAGTCGGTGATTTTGGCCGGCCGTCTTTCCTGCAACGGCAGTTTTTCTGTATTTCCTCTATCCTGTAATATGACTTGATCGCTTTAAACTCCGCACACTGAGCTCTGATTGGTCAGCAGGCGGTGCTTTCACTGAGTTGATCTCTTATCCTGGAACCTAACCTGCTCCGGAGCAGGCTAGCCGTTCAGCATCAGTTACCATGGAGATCTAGCCCGGTAAAAAGAGAACCAGCGCCGTAGGACCGGAAACCCAGAGTTAACCCTGAAGTTACCTCGCTAAGTGAAAATCCAGCTTCGTAGTACAGGCCTCTGGTGTTAAGCAGTATTTACATTGTTACTCTATCTATCTTTCTATAAAGTGAAGATTTGTTTACCTACTTTTGACGCATGCTCTGATAGAATAACTGTATGCTGTTGAAAAAACCCAATAAACAAAGTAAAGAAAAAAAAAGAAGGATAGAGCAAATGTTATCAAGCCTTTTATTAAAAACAAATATATATATGTATTATTCGAGGTATACAAAACATGAAAGAGGTCAGACTGAGAGCTGCGAGGTTTGTAAGCACGCTGCAAGCTTAACTCAAATAAGAAATTATAATAATAATAATTGCAACTCTGAAAATGCTAATTAAATCCCATTACAGCTTATTACATTTGCACAAAGGAATGAATAATTTTCTATAATAAAACTTTAAAACCAATATCCAGTTTCCATTTGAACTTTCTTTTAATGTAACACACCAACTGCCTTACAGTTCAGATATCGGACAAATGTTCATTAATGTTCATGTTCATTCATTCAAAATTACTTTTTGTACGATAGTTGTGGCGAGTTCCTCTATGAGTTCCTCTTTGTGGTCCTGCAGATATCGAACCTCATTCTGCTTCTCCTGCACACAGAGAGGGTGACTGATTAAAAGGGGAAGGGGAGAGACAGGGGGAGAAAGGGAGGAATCAGAAGGAGAGAGAGGGACGCAGTGATTCCTCACCAAGCTGTCACTGAACTCCTCCGCCTTAGCGATGGCTTCCTCTATCGCCTCCTCAGCGACACGCAGGGCGACTGTGAGCGTCTCGGCCATACTGTGTCCTGAACCACACACACACACACACACACACACACACACACACAACACACACACACACACACACACACACCACACACACACACACACACACACACACCCACACACACACACACACACACCACACACACACACACACACACACACACACACACACACACACACACACACACACACACACACACCACACACACACACACACACACACACACACACACACACACACACACACACACACACACACACACGAGATATTACACCCTACAAACTCCATTCTTCCTTAACACACATTTCTACAGCTCCCTTTAACTAAGCGTGGTATGCAACGAGGTACATGTACTCAAGTACCAGTTTGACGTACTTCACTTAAGTAATGTCACAAATAGTTTATCCGAATTGTTAGTATTTTAAAATACTTCAATAATGCATTAATATTTATAGTCCAATTATGTGTATATGATTCTGAAATGAGCCATTCTGCATAATTAGTACTTTTACTATAGTCTATTTTGATGCTTATGAATGAAGGACTTGTAACAGAGTATTTTTACAGTATTGTGACTTTAACAAAGGAACTACCTCCGCCTTTAACTCCCACTGTGATCAAACAGTTAACCACAGCTGTATTACAACCCCTCTCATGGGTCACAAGGAACAATATTTTGCACAGACTTTAATTAATTAATTGAACACCCCTGCTGGGCTAAAAAGGTATTTAAGTGAATACATCTGAGAGGGAAAACCACTATTTGGTGAATATATGAGTATTAGATGGTTTTGTTCTCAAACGTTGTACTTAAGTCGCGATATTTCAACAAATGTTACTCCTAGTTTAACTGAAATTAGAATGTGTTTATCTCTTTAGATGATTGCACAACACATGTTTAATAGAAAACATTTCAACATACTATTACTGTCCATTTGAACACTGCAGTTAAATTCTACACATCTACACTGCAGACTGAAAACCCACCTGTTTCCACTGCAGCTCGGCCAATTAAAACAATCATCATGAATAAAAACCTCATCTCTCTTCTCTGCGTAGCACTTAGGAAGTTTGGACTTTTTAAAAACTAATGCACTCGTGGGATTCTTGCTTTTCTGAGTTTGCATCTTAATGGTTGAATGCACTTGCTGTGCGTTGCTTGGGATAAAAGCATCCACTAAATGTAATTATAATATTATGTAATAAAAACACACGGATCCCACGGCTTCTCACGCGCTACACAGCAGATCTTGATCATTGCATAAACTCCTCGTGTTACTGGGAGACAGGTGTGGTGTGTGCATTGACCGGCATGTGAGACTAAACGTCTGTAGGAGGCTTTCGCTTTATCTGTGCGTGTGTGTGCATTTAATTCTCAACAGCAGTTTTATGTGCATCTGTGGATTTATGTGTGTGTGTGTGCGTATGAATTTTTAATGTGTTTCAATTCACTTGATGGGACCCCCCCCTACACACACCCCTCTGCAGAATGCTCTCCAACAATGAATGAGCAATAACTATAAAAGCTTACCCGTTCTAAGGGACGAATGGAAAGCAATATGGCTACTAAAGCAGGCGAGGATCAGCTATAAACCGGAGAAGCTAATGTTAATTATAATAGCGTCTGAATTACACATCTCTCACCTTCGCTCTGTTTGTAGAAGGCGGAGTCGCTGCCACAGACGCTGCCATCGTTGTCGTTGCCGGTGCTTCCCTCGTGAGCGCTGCTTTCTAAAGAAGCGGAGAGAGAGAGAATGACAAACCCAGTGTTCAGATGAAAGCCTTCAAACTGACGCCTGTCACAGAAATGCAAAAATATCCCGCTCGTATCATAACGTCTCATAATGTAGCTGCGCACTGTTGACACATTAAAAGTAGGTTACAGAGCGCACAGTGTCTCTAAACTCCTCATTGTGATCCTGTCAACTGTATTCCCATCTCCTTTTTGTCATCTAGTGAATCATAGAGTTGTGTGTCTTCTACTCGGTCCCTATTGAACACACACAAAGAAACATGATGTTCAAAAAGAAACATGATAATTCCTTGTACCTTTCAAACTAATGACACTTATCATGAGCACCATGCTTCCTCATTCAGGCCAAGTCTCTACAGTGCTGTATTTGTTGTGTAAGTATCTTTTTAAACTTATTCCAACATCTAGAGTAAAACCAAGATGGAAAATATGTGATTATAATCCTCACACAGCTCCACTTAAAGAGCAGCGAGGGCCCAGAGAAGGTGTAGTGGTTACAACATCCCCGCCTTCAAAACCACACACACTCCCTCAGGGGCCCATTAACTCGTGTTAGACACTTCTCCTGAGGTTTGCATTCAGCCTTTTCATCTGCAGAAATGAAGAGATTTGGACATGTAGGTTATTAGAGAGACAAACTGTCAGAGAGTGCACGAGAGGGATTTGCAAAGCACCAAGGTGTTAGTCTGACGGACCGCGATCCAGGTACGTTTCCATCCCCCCCCCGCGACCACAGATCCTCCAGACAGATCTGGACCATATGTAACAATCAGCTTATATTTTAAGCCTAGTTACCATTGTAAAACTTCGGGAGCGACTGTGGGAATTTAACAAGGCAAAGAGAGTGGCTGATATATTAAGTGTGTCCTCTAAATAATAAAGTTCTCCCCCCAAACTAAAACCTAGACAGAGTCAGTCTGGCGTCTCAAAATCTGTTTAATTAGCCCAAACACATTCAACACCTCCAACAGAAGTAAAGACACAAATTAGTAATTCTCCGGCAATGTCCAGCTTAGAAAACATAATAAGTCCAAAGTCACTCCACAAAAAGGTAAACTGGCTCCAGATCCACCATCCAGCTCATTTCCATCCAGCAAGCAGAGCCAAAACCAAGCCAAACCTTTCCAAAACACAGGCCCGGATCCAAAACTGCTGACAAAACACAGCCAAACTCCACGACTCCTGTCCTTGGCTGGCAACTTCTCTTCTGTTCCTGTCCTGTTGGGCCGGTTTCAGTTCTGGATGAATGCACAGAGACAGACGAATACTTGTGGTGGTTTGGTGCAAAAGTCTGCCTTCAAGGAGCCAGAGCCACTCAGCGATCTGTGCCATAGCTCACTGACATCACAGCTGAACACACAGCGATCATTGATGTTGCCATTGGATGCATTCTTGGGCCTCTCCCACAAGCATATGTCTTATAAAGAAAGCATATAAAAGCAATAAATGTAATGGAATCATTTCAGGAGAGGCCAACACAGGAACATATGAAGCCAGGGAAGCAAAACACATCTAAATGCAAGAAGCTGGCATTTAATGTCCTCCCTCTGACAGCAGCAGTAACACGGCCGGCTGTCAGATGTGTTTCAGTTTGCTGCTGTTTGTCAAAGCGCTGAGACGTTATAGTGCAGAGTAAGCCAGCCATCACACACTCCTACATTTCTCCACCGTGACACGCAGTGACATGCTGTTACTCAACCAGAAAGGACTATTTTTATATTCTCCTATACATCTGAGTACATGAAGTATCTGCTCTAACAGCAGCTTGAGTCTAAAGATGTGACTAGCTCCGATTTAAAGAGTGTGTGTTTGATTTAATGCAGCCCAGCGTATCTCCGGGGGACATTCCCATGTTCCTCGGATTTATATTGCACATAATGGGAACAGCTCTATCTAACAACGCCTTGTTTAAACCATTTTTGAGCATTTTTTTATCAGATTTTAAAACATTTTAATAGTGTGGCATGCAGCAATAGACTATTCACGATGGTTTGGGGATTTAACCCAAGTTTTGAATCAAGTTTTATTCACAGAACGACCCACTCATTGCCTTTTATTAGGGGAATTTCTAATTGAAATAAAGATGACAATAGTTTTTTGTTTGTTTATATCCATTTTAGGCCTTCAAAAAAATATGTAAAGACAATATTTATCAAATATTTTTAATACAAAATGTGTCAGATTTGCTGCACAACATGAGGAGAATACGTGGAAATATTATGAATATTATGAAAATGATTATGTTTGTGAATAATAAACAGATATTAAAGTGCAGTTCTACCCTTCTGCTGCTTTCAGAACAATGCTAAAACACTACCAATTGCTTTGTAAAGTTTCCAGCTAACTCCCAGAGTGTGTTATTACAGTCATCGATATAGAAGAAAGGCATTACAGTGTGCAGCGCTGGAGGAGTGTGAACGAGTGTTAACAGAACAGAGAACTGGGAGCAGACACACTCCCAGTCGCTGCTCGCTGTAACAAATCCTCACCATTACACGTCTGAGCGGCTCTGTTCCCGCCTGGCTGGAGCTGAGTCACTGAGGACGGGGACAATAGGGGGGAAATGACCTGCAGCAGCTCGACACGATGTAGACACATGAAGGAGAGCTGTCAGGGAAAGTGAGCCGCCTCGCAGGAACACACACACAGGTGCACACACACACACAGGTGAACACACACACACACAGGTGAACACACACACAGGTGAACACACACACAGGTGAACACACACAGGTGAACACACACAGAGGTGCACACACACACAGGTGAACACACACAGGTGAACACACACACACAGGTGCACACACACAGGTGAACACACACAGGTGAACACACACACAGGTGAACACACACACAGGTGAACACACACAGGTGCACACACACACAGGTGCACACACACACAGGTGCACACACACACAGGTGAACACACACAGGTGAACACACACACAGGTGAACACACACACACAGGTGAACACACACACACAGGTGAACGCACACAGGTGAACACACACACACACAGGTGAACACACACACACACAGGTGAACGCACACAGGTGAACACACACACACACAGGTGAACACACACACACACACAGGTGAACGCGCACACAGGTGAACGCACACACACACACACAGGTGAACACACACACACACACAGGTGAACGCGCACACAGGGAACACACACACACACACACACACACACACACACACACACACACACACACACACACACACACACACACACACACACACACACACACACACACCACACACACACACAACACACACACACCACACACACCACACACACACACACACACACACACACACACACACACACACACACACACACACACACACACACACACACACACACACACACACACACACACACACACACACACACACACACACACACACACACACACACACACACACACACACACACACAGTTTAACGTCAGCCTCTGTCACAACATAACGTGTGTGAGATAACCAAAAGTGTAGCTGTCACCTGTCAATCAAACAGATGCAGCCGGAGGGCCCGCCCCTTTGTACGCAGTAAAAAAATAAAAAATATTTTAGGGCAAAAATACATAATTTTTTCATCAGATTTGCTTACCAACTAGTTTTGGCCTTCAATCATATTATAAAAACTCAAATTCCAAATAGAACATTTGATTGCTTATAACATTTTAGTTAATTGTGAATGCCAATTTGTTGTTTGTGTCAGAAAAAGATTACACTAACAATATTAGTATTATACTATTGTTTATTCGTTTTTTGGTAAAATATTGTTTCTTTGGTTTCAGCTGTTCATAAAGGGACAGTCTGTAATATGAAAAGGCTCTAGATGAAATGTCTTGACAGCTTTTTTAAGATGACAGTGATCACTGAGTGTGAGGACACCACATCATTGTTGTGTTTGTAATTGTTATACTCACACCTGCTGTTCATCAACGAGCAATATCTGACACGGCAGAAATGAAACAATGACTAGTGTGAAAAAACAGAGCAATGTTTTTGGCACTTCTGCTTTGTCATTATGTGTGAGTGTGAGTGTGTGTGTGTGTGTGTGTGTGTGTGTGTGTGTGTGTGTGTGTGTGAAAGTGTGAGTGTGTGTGTGTGTGTCCCTAATCCAACTTCTGCATTTCCCCTCTATGAACACCCTCACACCTTTGTCCCTCACCACTTGCCGTCCTGCCGCTCTGAAGAGTGGAGGAGGAAATCGCTCGATATTGCCATAGTAACTACACAGACGACAGCGGTGGCCTGTGTGTGTGTGTGTGTGTGTGTGTGTGTGTGTGTGTGTGTGTGTGTGTGTGTGTGTGTGTGTTGTTTCCTGATTGTGTGTCTGTGTGAAAGAAGAGTGGGAGAACTCCCTGACCTCTCTGTCAAAATGGAAAAGGTACAAGTATGTTTGGAGTTATGTATGCGACACAAAGCTGGTTTTGTGTGTGTGTGTGTGTGTGTGTGTGTGTGTGTGTGTCTCTGTGTCTGTGTCTGTGTCTGTGTCTGTGTCTGCGTCTGTGTGTGTGTGTGTCTGTGTCTGTGTGTGTGTGTGTGTGTGTGTGTGTGTGTGTGTGTCTGTCTGTGTCTGTGTGTGTGTGTGTGTGTGTGTGTCTGTGTGTGTCTGTGTGTGTGTGTGTGTGTGTGTGTCTGTGTCTGTGTGTGTGTGTGTGTGTGTGTGTGTGTGTGTGTGTGTGTCATCATGGCAAAATGTGTTTCTGGAGACACTGCTATAGTGGGAACTACCACTGAACCTGTTTTCAACAACTAGCATTTGTGAATCGTGAAACTTTAAATACTTTTGAGAATAGACCACTTCATGGAAAATAAACCCTCTGTTGTTTTGGTGAAAAAGTTTGGAAATTGCTGAAAGTTAGTGTGAGGATTTAGTAGAGTGATAACGAGTGTCGTTACGAGAGGATATGCTGACACACAGAGGTAACTAACAGAAGACTGTATAAATAAATGAG